CGCCCGTGAGCCGGCGTCCCCGTCACCACGCAGCTCGCTCTCTCCCCCGCGGCTCCAGAGCTGAGCCCTGCGCTGCGGGCGCCGCTCCTCTTTCTGTCCCCGGACAGTTCTCTCCACTAGACAGGAGACAAAGAGCGCTTCTAAGCCTGAGCTTGAGCACGGGATTCAGAATTCAGACCTGGACTCTGAAAATTATTAGTTGTGTAACCTTGGGCTCACCAAAAGGAAATAAATACAATATCCACCTTATAGTGTCATTCTCGTGATTTAATGAGTCAGTTCAAGTAAAAAGCCTGCAACGGAGCCAGCCATATACTAAGAATTGAAGACGCGTAAGCTGTTATGCTCTCTCGGCAAGGGATGGGTGCTCTGGCTACGTCTCCTAAGCATCCTGCTGTGGGACAGTCAATTGTCAGGATTGCAACGCCATTTAGAAACGTGGGGCTGGAACCGTGGTCTCTGGTTATGCTCAAACAGTGACTCTGGTGTTCAGAAGGTGGATATTGGGGACAGGACCCATTACCATTACCCTTATAGTTGATACCAACATGGAGGGAAAGAGCCACTCTTGGGCATAAAAGGGTGTATTTCACTTTTGGATTTCAGTTATCTTTTGACTTAGCCAAGTCATTCATGTTTTCTCAGCTTGCTTAAAATTTCTCACCTTTAAAGTATGTAGAACAGCTTATGCTCAATTCACTTTTTTGGGTGAAGTAAAAATGATTGAGATATATGTATATGTACCAAATTCTCAAGATGAAGGTAATTGCTATGCACTGCAAATATATATTAGTAAAAAGATAAAAAGATAAAAGCAAGAACATAGGAATAGAAAAAAATATGGCTCTGGCTACTGTGTGGAGAATAAAGATTCACTTGAAATTAGCCAAAAGGCTGAGAGGTGATGGAGACTAAAGGTTCAGGAATAAATGTGCTCATATTTTCTTATTGATTTATAAAAACTTTTATATAACTGACACTAATCTTTTATACCATACATATCACTTTTTTCTGTGGATTGTTTTGATATAGATTTTTGCTATGTAGTCTGGGCGGGGCTTGAACTGGCAGCAATCCTCCTGCCTCAGCCTCTTGAGTTCTGAGATCACAGGAGTGTGCCACCACACCTAGAGTTTCTATGGATTTTTAAATGCTTCACTTTGTTTATGCTTTCATTATACTGTCTTAATGTTTGCAGGGTTTAAGTTTGGGCTGAGAATGAGAAGGCATTCACCAGACAGAAGAGATCCAAAGGTGTTTTGCCGAACAAACAACGAAAGGAAGAGAAATTGACATTTCTTAGGAAAGGTGTCCATTAAAATGTGACAGGATGGTAAGTCAATTTCTTCATTATAGGGCTATTTGTGCTCAAATAATGGATATTATCAACTTAACATTACTTTGTATTTCTTTTACATTTGTTCCGGTGTGTTTTGTGGTCTATCTCGGTGAAAAGTCCATCACTATTTGCCACTTGAGAAGACTGTATATTTTGCTGTTGTATACAATATCCTGTAAATGTCTATCAGATTCATAGTGACTTTCAAGTAAACTGTCTCTTTATAGATTTTCTGCCTGCTTTGTTTATCAGTTACTGTCAGAGGATTTGGAATTTTCCAACTATAATTGTGGACTTGTTTTTTTTCCTCCCTTTGGTTCTCAGTTTTTGCCTTGCATACTTACTCTGACATTATATATTTAGGACATATATGTTTCTTGGGGAACTGGTTCCTTTATCACTATGTAGTGTCCTTTTTTTATTCTTGTAACTTTCCTCATTCTGAGTCTTCATCTGAAACTAATGTAGCTAACTCAGCTTTCATCACTGTTAGTATATAACCATGATGGTGAACCTTTTAGAGCTTTCAATAACCGCTGGCTGCAGCAAGTGTGTCACTACTGGATAACTTCCTCTATTCTTTTAGTCTTTTATATTTAAAGTATGTTTCCTATAGGCAGCATATAATTGGATCTTTGAAAAATTTTCTGAAAGTTTCTGTCCTTCATTGCTCTATTAATAGGTTTGGATTAATATAACCATGTAACTATTTTCGTATCAATTGCCAGGTGCACCTACTTCTGCATTCTTTGAGCAATTTATGAAATTCTCATTTTATCTCATCTCAGAATATCTGTAAAAATTCTCCACAAAAACTTTCTTCCTTATTTTTTGAGACGGGGTCTTACTATATAGGTCAGGCTGGCCTTGAACTTGCAGTGATCCTCCTGCCTCAGCTGCCCAAGTGCTGGGATTACAGGCATGTGCCACCCTGCCCATCTCATCTTTAAAAATTTTAGGCTATTTATTAAAGTTTAGAGTGTGTTTTAAAAACTAAGCTAAGTCCACTTCAAATAATAGTATGCCTGCTTTAGGTGTGGTATGGGTACCTTAAAAACAATATATCCAATTAATTCATCTCCTCCTTTGTGACACTGCTGTCATTCACACCGCTTTTCCACATGCCATTGTCACCAAATATGCCTTCACCTGTTATCCACCAGCTGGAGTTCCCTTAGCTGGCAGTGAGGGGTAGCCTCATGGGGGTATTCTCAAAGTTTCCTCTTCCACTTTTTAATTTCAGGGTCGTAGAATTCTCTATGCTTGGTGCCCTCTCTCTCTCTCTCTCTCTCTCTCTCTCTCTCTCTCGTCTCACTATGTAATTCAGGCCACCTTTGAACTCAGTATGTAACGCAGGCTGGCCTCAAACTTGCAGTGACCCTCCTGCTTCAGCCTCCCAAGTGCTGGGGTTACAGGCATGCGCCATTGTGCACAACCCCAGTGTCCAGCAGTTTGACAGCTTCCTTCTCACATTTATATCTTACAGTTCACATTTCTGTATTATTAATAGTTTATATCCTTTCTAGTCTCTGTTAGTATCATTCTAATATATGAAATCCTCAAGGGTGCTCATTTATATTTTAAATAGAAGCACTGAACCCTTTCAGAATTCTAATATCTATAATGGGCTCTGTTTCCATATATGTCTTGATGTAAACAAGAAAGGTTAAATTTCTTTTAAAAAAGTTTCATGTTGAAACTTTTAACTGAAGTAGTGGATGCACATAATTAAAAAATGCTATAAGAAGGCTTGAATATCCCTCTTACCCTCACTTACCTCTTTCCTGTAAGTCAAGCCCCCCCTTTTTTTAGCTGTTTCTTAAAAGCAAAATGCCACAAAACAAAACAAACTCCCACCCACCAAAAAACCCTAAAAGCATTCCTAATATGCCAGGTTTCTCTTTATCAGCTGCAAACCACTTCTGTTTGCTACTAGCCTATATGTCTTCTACTCTTTCTTCTCATTGTAGTTATGCTAATGTGTTTCTGTCCTTTCACAGTCAACTGTACCATTTTACATAACAGACTTCAACCCCCACTGCTTGCTTCATTAACCATAGACAGCATTTTTTTAGTCTTCAAGATATAAGATGAAACATTAGCAACCCATTATTTCTTTCATTTTCCAACTTCTACAGGTACTTAAAAAATAAAATGTTACTGTAGAATTATTTTATATTTGCAGAAGAATTGTGAAGCTTCTCTCTCTCTCTCTCTCTCTGTCTCTCTCTCTGTCTCTTTCCATTTCTCTCTTCAGGTGCTAGAGATCAAATTGAGGGCTTTGCATTGGCTAAGCAACAGTTCTACTACTGAGCTACAACCACAACCCAGTATTTATTCTTTTAGGGCCTGGGATTTAGCTCAGTGGTTCCACCGCCTGCCTCTCAAGGGCAAGGACCTGAGTTTGATCCCCAGTACAAAGACATTTTTAAAACTCTTTTAAATAAATATACCATTGATTAAAACTGAGTATTGTTTTAATCTGTACTTCACCTTTTATGTATTTGTTTTCTTTGAAGTTTATGATTGTCTTGCTTTGGGGAAAGGAAGTACATTTCTTATTCATGATGTCTCAAGCCAATCAGCTTTTTACTTTCTTTGTGATGCATTCCATTTTTTCCTTGAATCTCACTGACTTTGTATTCTGATAAGGTCTGACTTTTTTGTATTCCCATATGACCTCTTTGTATTTAAATAATGACTTTCTCTTTCCTGAGATTCAAATTGTTTTTGAGTTGAAATCTGGGCATTCATCATAGGTTCAAGGTCCATTTTCCAAGGTCTCATCTCCATTGTCTCATAAACTTCTCTGCTGCTCTACTCTGTCTGCCAGTTCCAAAGTCAGTTCCTTTCTGGGCCTGCTTGTCTAGTCCCTGAGATTTTCCCTCAGTTCTGTTATTACAGATTTATCACTTCCTGTGGCTCATCTATTCCTCTTTCTTGGCTTATTTTCTCAAGAACAAGATTTACATTTCTTGGTTTGTTCCTCATGAATAAGCATTTAAAGAAGTTAAATACTTGAGGATGTACTCACATAATCTCTCTCTCTCTCTCTCTTTTTTTTTTTTTTTTTTTTTTGCGGAACCAGGGATTGAACTCAGGACCTTGTGATTATCACGCAGGCGCAGTGCTGCTGAGCTACATCCCCAGCCCCCACAATCTCTTAAGATGAGATCATGTGCATTCAAGTTGGTATGGCCCTAGACCATAATGTCTTAAGAAAGTGGGTGAATTTTCTGACTGCACGTCTGAAATGTGCCTGTTCTACTCTTACACAATGTGCACTGGATTCA